GATGTTCTAGGGCTCGTTCAACTTCCGCTTCCATTGGTTGCACCTAGAACTTTCTCGTTTTTTTTTTTTTTTTGCAAAAAAGGTTCTAAAAAATTTAAACAAACAAAAAAAAAAAGTGCTTTAAAGAGATGCTAGTAAAGATGGCAATTTCAAGTGCACTGAGCGAAATACCTCGGCTTCGATTTCTTTCAAAGCTTCCTCCTCTTTCTGGAGTTGCAGTTCACGTGCCTTGCGACGAGCTTCGCGAAATGCTGGCGGATCTTCACAGTGCTCCTGTACAAATTATTATTTTGTATAAAAATCAGGTAGATTTTATTAACAAAAACAGTCATATAAGACAGAAACTGAAAATGGGCCAGCTAACAGCAAATTCGAATAACAGGAGCCCACATTCGAATAACAGGAAAACAGAAGCCCACATAGCGAGCGCATGGAAACTGGAGGCAAACAGTCCAGGAGAGGGGTCAGGTGAAAAGAGGCATTTCATTTGTGACTACTTCTCAACAACAATAAGAGTTCGGCACCGATATTTCAAAAGATTTTAGGAGTGGCTGAAGCTTGCGAATTCGTAACTTTCTAAATGGCACTTCCAGTTTTTCCCTAACTGTCAAAATTCGACTGTGTTTCTCTCCACGGTGGGCGAACAACGCCAAACAAACTGCGTATATTAACACAGAGAAGACTGCAGACCCCCGTCCTTTTCCAGTCTCCTAGCCAGAGGTATTCGCTGTTTGCATTTTTAAAATTTTTGAAACATTTAGTGAAAACTGGGGTTATTTACCTCTATATTTGTATGGGCCAATTTTTTTTGACATTGCCAGTTAATCGAAATTTCACTCAAATTACAGTAGGAGGACCGGCAGAACAGCAAAAGAAGACATCAGTTGTAATCCCAGGGGTCCAAGCGTCAAAAATTTGGACCCTATTCGATCAAAGCTTTGGGAATTTGGTCCGTCCCCTCCCCCTCTCTCCAACAATTTTGGAAAATCCGGCAGAACACCGTCGTAGTAAGCAACAAGAAGATGCCTTAAGCGCTTATAAAAAGTTAAAATTTAGTTTGTTTAAAGGGTAATTCTTGCGATACACTTATAGCCACCATGGCCGCCAATTCTTAAGACTACTGTGCCAGATTTTGATGAACGGTTTTCAGAGATGCGGGCTCGATTCCTATTCAGTTTAATAGAATAGAAGGGAAAGAACAGGTTATGGAAGCCCAGCCAAAATTAGTCATTACAAGCAAGAATATCGGAGTCATGGTAGATGTGCGGTAGTAATTTGTGGCTGTACGTAGGTAAAGCATGAAATAAATAGCAACGCGCACCAGACTAGCCGCTTCGATCATGTGTTTTGTGCAATTCAGCCCATCAAACGATTGCCTATTAATGATTTTCACTGCTTTGTACTTTAAGTCTATGCAAAAATAGTTCGAACATTGGAAAACAGTTAAAAATTTCACACACCAGCGCAAGAAAGCTGAATCCGAAACCTTGAAGGGTGAACGTTTTTATCCCGAGTTAATAGTTAACCCATCAAAACTTTCACGAGGCCGCAGGTGATACTGAAGAGTGCAGGAACGCTGAATTTGAAAATCAAGGTTGAGCGTGAGCAGTGGGTCATCACCCTAAAATTTCAGCCTACTAGACTCCGTGGTTCCCGAGATATTAATTTACCTGTAAAAAACTTTCACGGGGCCGTACGTGTGACCCGCGGGTACGGGAAAGATGAATTTAAATTTGTGGAGTCACACGTGGGTGGGGAAATTTCCCCTACATTTTCAGCTTCCTAGATTTGTGGTTCCCGAGTTGAAAGTTGCGGAAAAGTTGCTGCGGACACACACACACACACACACACACACACATACACATACACACACAATCCCGTGACAACATGCGTTTTCTACTGTTGTTACACAGCACAAAACGCATAAAAAGAAAGAATGCGATAACCAAATCAATTGTGGCGAATTCATCGATGGTCAGTGCACTGGAGGGCGTTTGCGAGAATTCGTCGAGCCTTTTTCGGACCACAGCTTCACTTATGTGCACAACGCGAACCACATCCGCTACTGTACGATTGAAATTGAAGCATCGTGCAGCGAGCAGCAGTGCTGCACCACAAAGACCGGTCGGTCGCCGTCCCGTGGCTATCCAGTCGCGCTTCATACGCTGCACCAGCCGTGTCGCTAATGATACAACCTGAATTTTTGAAAATTTTTTGAAATTTTTCGAAGCGGAATTG